GTTGCCGTCGTAAAAATCCGGCAGCGCTTCCTCACCACCGCTGAAAAAACCCGTGCCGCCGCAGCAGAATTTCGGCAGTATTTCGGTACCTCCGCAGTAAAAGCACGTTCCGCCGCAGTAGAATTTCGGCAGTACTTCGGTACCTCCGCAGTAAAAGCACGTGCCGCCGCAGCAGAATTTCGGCAACACTTCCGTATTACCGCAGTAAAACCACGTGCCGCCGCAACTGAATTTCGGCAACACTTCCATACTACCGCAGTAAAACCCGGGGCCGCCGCTGCAATAGTAGGAAAATTGCAAGCCAAAATTAGTAGAATTTGGCCCCCAGGCCCAAATTCCACAGCGCCGCACTGCCGCAGTCCCGCAGTACTACTGGGCCTGTCCCGTGGGACCAGCACCAGCCAGAGGTGAGGGGAGCAGAGTGCTCCCTGCCTTGGCTATGGCTGCCCAGTCCTCCTTCTTGCGCTCCTCTGCAGTCCTTCAGCCTCTCCTCACGTTGCCTCAGACAGTAGCTCCAGCAGCCAACACTCAAGTGTGCTCGTCACACACTGGCAGCACGAGTGCAATTGTGTGGCGGCTGGGGGGCAGCTGCCTTTTTTATATTGGTTGAGGAGGGTTGGAGGTCACTCCAGCCCCCAGGCAAAATCACGGACTCACTGTGATCCCTAGATCTGCCAAGATCCAGGGTAGACTATGGCCGCACCACAACCACAGCCTTAGTGTGGGGCAGTTTCTTTAACTGTCCTATTTTATTTTTCTTTTCTTTTTCCCAGCTATCTCGGAATCTGGCGAGATAGCTGGTATCCTGCCATTTCCAAAAATGTTTTGCTTTTCTTTTTCTGATAAGGGGTTGGAGAGATACAGCCCCTTACAGTTTGATGTATCTGGACCCTTTTTCGAGGGTAGATACATCGAGGAAAAGGCTGCATCTAGCCTTTTTCCTTAGTGGCCTTTAAATTTCCAGGCTCCCTGCAAAAACGGGAGCYTGACAGTTACCTCTGGCAGCTTGTGCCAGAGGTAGCACCACGTGAGGACAAGTGTCCTCACACGAATAAAGAAAGAAAAATAAAAAAACTAACTACTAATTTTCATTGTTCCCGGCTCTTATCTCAGCCAGGTGCACGCTGTTTCCATGCAATAACCTTCCACCTTTTGCTCTGCCTTCCCCTGAAAACGAGGAGGGCAGTTGTCAGTTCGGGAGGAGTAGGACCTCCTCCTCCCAACTCTCACATACATCCTCCCTCTCTCTTCTCCCAGCCAACTCCACAACCTCATTCCCACGCGCACATTATGAGCTGCGAGATCCAAGATCTCGCGGCCTCAAATATTCGCCCTGTATGAGGTGGAGAGCCTTTCTGCTCCCACACAGCCAAAAAGGTTGTTCTTCTTCAGCTACGAGGCAGTTGCCTCGTTTCAGTTTAGTTTTTTTTTTTTTTTTTTTTCCAGTTTTTCATGAGGCAGTTTGCCTCGTTTCTGCCCCTTTTCCCGTTCCCCCCCCCATATCCTGATGTTCAATGGCCACAAAATGGGAAAAGGGAAAAACTAAAAAGAAACTACACAAAAAAACTTACCTGAAGTGGCGTCTGCTGCCCATTTTCTCCGAACGAACGGGCGGAGACCCTGAATCGAATGAGGGGAGGGGAAAGGCACTCAAGTGGGGGTGTATATTTCCACGTTCCACTGGTAGATTCATTCGATTTTGCTCATCCTGTAGTTGGCTTCCTCGCCGAGGAGCCAACCTCAGGTAGGTTGGTAGGTAGGTAGGCAGTTCTCTCTCTCTCTCTCTCTCTCTCTCTCTCTCTCTCTCTCTGTGTGTGTACTTAGCCGCGTTATTGCGGCCGAATCACCCTTTTTTGTCCATCATGTGGACAGACTGTCGAGGCTCAGCCTCCTGACGAGTCGGTGAGACTCCGACGAAACACTCTGGTTTCGCGTTCGTTCGAAACGAACGGGCATTCGTAAAGAACAAAAAGAAAAAAAGAATCTAACAAAATCTAACAAGAAAATCTAAAGAAAGAAAGAAAACAAAAAAAATATAATTAACTAAAGAAAAGAAAAACAAAAAGAAAACTTCAAAGAAAACGGGTGCCCGTTTTCAATGGCCGCCTGTCTTCTCTGGGGACTGTAAGTTCCTAGCCAAATCTCCCTGTGCCATCTGTCGTGTCGTAGTTCGTTCGGTTTTTAGTTTTTTTTTTTTTTTTTTACAGTAATAACAAAAAACCGTTGGCATAAGCCAACAGTTACTACTATGTGCCTTCAGGCACATCTTTTCGCGTCAAGTGGCGCTGTCTTTGATTTGTTTATTTATTTATTTTTATTTTTATTTTTATTATTTTGATTTATGTGTGTCCTCTTTGTGCAGGGGCCTTGCCGATCTGCGCACGGCCGATCAGGACCGCGCGATCTTCCAGATCTGGCGGTCGAGGTAGACCGCGCCTCTAAAAGAAACGGGCAGCTCCAAAAGGAGCTAGCCCGGTAGTACCACGAGTGAAATTCGAGCCCTATATCAGCAGGGTGAGAATCTATTACGTTAACCTACTAGGCTAGCTCCTGTTCCACGCTGAACAGGAGCAACTCTTCAATATGAAGAGCAGGCGCAGGTATTCTCTCAGCCTGCAGCCTGGCAGGCTCCGCCCATAAATGGCCTAGCAGGCCTGCCCCGACTGTGGCTTAGCAGGGCTGCCCTGCCTGTGGCCTGCCGACTTACCTGCCCGTGGCGTACCCATACCGGTTAGCCGTGTGGCCGCGGCTGGGTCGACCATCGAACCGGGTAAGTCTTGGCATTGGCCTATCGGCCCCAAGGCTCGAAATCAGACCCCGCGACCCTAGAGAAAACAAAAACTTCGTACGCCTCTTGCGTCGTGGCCCCATACCCCGGGGCAACTCTCTCCTTAGCCACTTAGGCCCTGAATTGCACGACTGCTAAGCTGCGCGACATTATTTTTAGATAGAATACGTCTAATTTTAGTTTTTCCATGACTGCACACTACTGCGTTCTCGTCGAAAAACCCGCGGATGACAGTGCTGACTTCCGCTATCCCGTGCGGACGTCGATGTCGTCTTGCGTTGCCGACGTCAGGTTCTAAAAGGTTTAGGTTTTCTCAGTCATAGCGCTGGTCTGAATAAACGTTTGGCAAACATCAGTCTCATCAAGTCCTTCAATTCAACGCAAGAGTCGGACAACGTCCAACGTTAAAAAATACCGGCAAATACCCTTGTCAGGGTTTTTGCCCTGACAGGAGTCCCAAACCCCATTGAACGACGTCCCCGTCGTTCACCCTATATTAGTCAACAATATAGGGGTCTCTGGATTCTTATGGAACTCTTTTCAACAAAATTTCTTTCAATCAAAAATAAGTCGAAGCTTATAACCAAAATAAGAGTTATTGCCTCGGTAATCTAAAATTCAATCATCCTTGATTGGAATGGTACCAGATGTAGCCTCTGGCAAACCTTTCACAAAAACCTGAATTTATACCGGTTCAAGTTCCGGAATCACTAAAATATTCAAGAAACTTTGTCTAAATGGTTCCAGCATCATCCCACTGGCGACAACTCTAAACATTATTTAGTTTCTCAGAATGGTACCGGAAATAGCCTCCGGCTAGCCTTCTAAACCTCAGGCGGCTAATATTTACATTTATCTAAAAAATGTCAGGTTTAACACCCTGACGTGTATTTCAAAATAAATAACCTTCTGAGCGGCCCAGACAGAGTTTAAACCAACCATTCATGAGAGAAACCGTTTATCAAAAGTCCTTGTCCATGTTTTGTATCCCATTTCAATTACGAGTTATCACATATGACATTTTTCCTGCATGCTTTGTGATATGCGTCGAGAAGTGGTGTAATCCTCAAGGGATGACATCTCGACGTCAAGCCCCGCTTTAGACTCGAGCCTCACCACCTTCCCTCCGATTCCAGTATCATGTGCTTGCCAGTCCCCTACCTGCAAGGTTGAACTACCCTTTCTCTATGACCTAGGCTGGTCAGACCCGGCATAGAGGCGAGGCGACCCCATGCGTCACAAGGTCAAGGTGACCACTCCTTCCCCCATGACGAGCGGCAGTCGTCACCCTTACAAGCAAGATTCCAACAATTACAATAATACCTTCCTCCCTTTCAATGATAGTGTAGCCACCCTCCTTAAAAAGAAAAAGTGACAGCATCCCACTATGGACCAGGAACAAGTTCCGACGTAGGTCTCACTACCATCTACGGAGCTCACTGCATCAGGATTCATCATAATATGATAACTAAAAACATTACGAATCATTTTATGTGAATAACTCCCGGCTATGATAATTAATTGCATTACATGTTATGTGAATAACTCATAGTTATGCCACAAACCATATAATGCAAATTACAACGAACAACATACATTTTTCTAGAACTTTTTTTTTTTACAACGAGAATATACATCAAATAACAACATACATTTTCACAGAGAGTTCCATAACATTCAAGTCCAAAAATATTCATAAATTTGCATTGCATCACATTTCATCGAAAAAGTAACAAGAAATCATTCAAATTTAGGAATCAACAGTTTTTGGATCCAAAACCACAACATAATTCCACGAACAGGAGTCGTAGAATTTATTAATTATACAAAAACATGGAACCATAGGTCCCAGAATTAAAATCAAATCCCAAGAGTCCAAAGTTAATTCCCTTGTCTGTCCTCAGAACCAGTCAGCAATTAGTGATCCCAAAAGAAATAAAAGAGGAAAAACAAGTTCTGAAAAGAAAAAGAAACTTATACTAATAAAAAACCCTTTTGTTAAGTCCTTGGAATAAATTTTCTCAAATGCGATCCCGACACCCAATTTTTACCTCGAGCCCCATCAATTTCTTCGATCTCATAAGCCCCATGCTCATATTTCCTGATAATACGATAGGGCCCCAACCATCAACTGTCCAATTTCCGAGACCATTGTTTTTCCAATGACGAATCATAGAGAAGTACGATATCCCCTACTACCAATGGTTCCTTACGAACACGAGGCATTTTATCCCATCTTTCCTTGTCGGCTTGCCTACTCTCTGCAGTAGAGGCAACGACCTCCTCAATCCTTTCCTCAGTGATCATCACTTGTCTTGCCCTCAATTCCAGCAACTCCTCCGTTGAAAGCTTCGTTTCCATATCCTGTTTTCTCCAAGTGGTCAGAAAACTTTCGATTGGAAAAGTTGTGTGCCGCCCAAACCACAATGTGACCGGAGCGTATCCAGTTGTCCGCTTTATGGTGGCATTCTCAACAAAGAATGTCGTTCTCATATATATCGGTCACCTTGAAGGATCGTCTCCGCACCATTTAGCCAACAAACTTGTTAGAGTGGCATACCCACGTTCAACTGGCGTATTGGTCTGGGGATGTGCCCTTGTAGTATAGCTAAAGCTTACTCCAAGTTTCTTCAGAAGCGCCTGCACTTCCCCAGGCCGAAACTCACCACCTCGATCCATGACAATTTCCCGGACAAATGGGTACCGAAAATAATATTCCTCAATGCATTCTGCTAAAACATGCCCAGTACGCTCACGAATGACACAGCCATCAACGAACCCAGTCAGATTATCTCTTGCGTTGAAGATATATTTGTACCTATTTATCCCAGGTGGCATGACCAATAGATCCAGGTGTACTACTGCTCCCGGCTCAGCTACATAGCGTGGATTAAGAGGTTGAACAAAACGCAGATTAGATCATTTTTGGCAAGGAAGACAAGAGTTACAGAATTCATTTACCATCTTGTTCATTCCTTACCAAAAATAAAGATGTTGAATCTTTTTCAAAGTGACTCGTGCCGACCTATGTCCGCCTGCGACCCCATCATGCAAAACTGCAATCACATCCAGTTGTCGCGTAACCCCACATACCACCCTTCTCGGAATATCATCGTTGGATTTCTTGAAAAAATGACCATATCTTACAACAAAATCCTTACTTTTCTGACGAACAACTGGATCCACCTCATCCTCCCTCAACTCACCATTCAACCACATTCCCATTAATTTATACTCCCCATCATACTCTCCTTCTCTGAAAGCTTCTCTGATTTCACTGCCTTCTGCTTCTTCATTCATCATTTTCAGGCGGTCCTCGTGAATTAGAGAATTCAATGACATCTCTCCAGTGATCCTGAAAGTCTTATCAGCCTGCTCATGCCCATACTCAATCATCAGCGGCTCTTTGATAAACTCGACTTTATCAGACAAAGCTAAGTTCATCATTTGCTCTGATGTTCTTTCACCCCATGGGTCTTCCTCAATAAACGGTTCCCCAATCACAAGCTCTAATCGCACATGATAGAAACAAGGAGCATTATAGATGGTTTTCCCATGTCGGGTTGTTGCATCCGCCAAATAATTGTATGAGTTAATACTCAAGTGTGACTCTTCTCCTTCCAGGAATCCATCCACAGGGACTGAATCCTCAGCCTGATCCGTCGTTGAGTTCCAATCAACACGACTCAACCCATCTGCTCGATTCTGAGTGCCTAAAATGGGCTCAATCTCAAAATTGAACATCCAAATATATGTCAGTCATCGAGCAATGGTCAGATCAGAAGGAGAATAGTTCTTCAATGATTGAGCCAGAGCCGTAGGATCAACTCGCAGAATGAACCCCCTACCAAATACATAATTCCTGAAAATGCGTAGACAATGAAGCACAGCGAGAGTTTCCTTCTTGAACTGGGAGTAGTTTCGCTCAGTAATATTCAGAGATCTGTTTTCGAATTTCAAAGGCCGTTCCCGTCCTTCCCCATCCTTTTGGACCAAAACTCCTCCCAAAGCGGTAGGACCTGCATCGGTCTCGATGATGAAAGGACGTCCTTCAGCATCATCAAAGCAAGGAACTCCCAGAATCAGGCCGCCTTCTCGAAACTCAACTTTAATATCCTCAACGGCTGCCTGCTGCTTCAGTCCCCACTCCCAGACCTGATTCTTGCGTACTAACTTCCGCAAGTGTTTCACCCTCGCTGCGAACCTGCGGATAAAAATACGCCAAAATACGCCAAAATCCGCAAGTCCCGAGAAAACTCCGAATGTCGGTAATAGATCTGAAGGGAGTCGACCACTCCAAAATCTTATTCGTCTTTTGGGCATTGGCCGACGACCCTTTTTATCACAAAGGAAACCCAGTATTACCGCCTTCCTCATACCATGCCTCGATTTAACCCCACTAGCAGTGAGGTTATATTCGTTCAGTTTACTCAGAACCTTTTCTACATTGTTGATGTGCTCCCACACGAACTTTCGAACGTCGGGTACAACTTCAGTCTCGTCCTTGACTCGAGGTCCTGGGATAGCCAAATCATTAATATATGGAGAAGTCACGTCTGGACAAAGTGGCTGCATGACTCTCATCATATATCTCTGCACAATTGCCACAACATTTGTCCAACCTTGCGGAGCCGCGCACATATGAAGCAGTCCCCGAGGCGTATGCATCGCCGTCACAGGTCGATCCGCTGTGTACAGCGGGAACTGATCATACCCTGAATATAAATCAATTAGGGTGATGATGGGCCTGCCTGCACAAGATTCCGAGAGTTGATCGGCATTCGGAAGTCCGCCCGCATCTCGGACTGTTACAGAATTCAACTTCTGCAGGTCCTGAACCCATCGCAAAACACCGTTCGGCTTGATAAAGCAGAACCAAGGAGACGCATACGGCCCATATGAATAGTCTGCCACTTTGGTCTGAATCTTACCATCAAGATAATCCACCACCTTCCGGTGATCGTCTGGATTTGGATATCGTGGGCCTTTCACATTTCATGGCTCATGCGGTACCGTATGAATCCGGATCATTGGAATCATATCGACGTTCAGCCTTCCACGCTCATCATCACCAAAAAAGCATAAGCAAGATGAACTTTCTTCATAACGTCGATAAAGAATTGGATTTCCTCCTTAGTAAGGAGGCCATCCTTTCCAATGATCATTTCCTTGACCCTGTAATCCGTCAATCGACACGGCCCCTTCTCAACGTTCTGATCCACTCGCGTTCTTCCTTGTAATACACTTCCTTTTCCTGAGTGATCAGAACTGGCATTGGTCGCGCCTTCTCTCCTACTTTCTTATACTTCCTCTTGGACCCAACGCTGAGCTTCCGTCCCCTAAAAAAGACTCTTGCCTGACTGATGGCAGTGATTCCTCCATGCGAGATTCATTTAGCCGATAAACAAGATGCATGGTTCCTGCACCTTCCTTGTCAACCACAACCTCCATCAGGGCCTGTACCAGGCTCGGATCAATTGTAGGATGGCTTGCTGCAAAATCGACTGCCTGTGAGATACCTGGCAATGTCAACGAAAATTCCTGAGGATCCCTTTCTTCATCGATCGCCTCTTTCTCCCTTCACAACTTCTCAGACTCTAAGAAGGTGTATGATTCGGGATTCAACCGGTTCCTTGAATTTGTTGGTCCGGTATTCGCGCACTTTACCACTTCATAATAGCCGCAAACCGGATTGCACAAAGCTACAAACATGGTGCCGTCATGCTTATTGAAGATTATGCTCTCTGTGCGACATTGAAAGGACCTTCCCAAAAGCACTTCGTGTTCAACCTTTGGCAATATATAAAAATATGATTTCGCTTTTACCTTCCCAACTGTGACCATTACGCCACTAGCCGTACCGCAAAATGGCGTTGCCCCGCTGGCTCCAATCAAAAATCCAAAGTCATTGCGATTGATCTGAACCCCAGCTTCAATCGCATGCCTCTCTTTCATAATGTTCATCTCGGCTCCGTCATCTACGAGAGCAAGTGAACTCTCCACGGCCGATTTGAACTTTTATGAGACCTGTGGCCACGCATCGCCAATCCATCTTCGTGCCAGGAGGCGCCCCGTTAGCTTCTGGAGGGATGATCTCGCTCAGCTTGACTGTCATGACTTTCTTCCGAGTCATGCGCTGCTTAAATTCCTCGCGGAGCTTCGGCGATACTGCAAGAATCTCCTTCAGGGTACGTTGACTTTCCAGAATACAATCCACCAGCTGTTCAAAATCAATCCCTTGTTGAACAGGGATTGAGTACACATTCTTCTTTTTGCGAGGTTCTTCTTCCTCGACCTGGGTCTTCCCTGCTTCCGACGCCCTTTCCATAGCTCTCTGCTTTGCTAGCAGGTCATCCTCTGCTCGCAATTTTTCATCCTCCTCATCATCATCCCCTTCTTCTACCTGAATAGGTTCTTTGTCCTAAGGTTCCTTTGAACTTTCTCCTGGCGCAGACTGCGATTGTGAGGTCTTCCTTCCTTTCCTCGTCTGCATTATGACGGTTGGCATCCCTCGCTTCAGTACAAGTCTGGACATCATCATTGGTCGTGTCATCGGCGTTGCTTCAGGTGCCGAAGCGGCCGCAGGTGCTGACCCATCCTGACCTTCGTTCCCCCATCCACCAAAAAGGAACACATCAGGAAGATTCAGTCAGACTTCTTCCATGTCAACACATAATTGAACGATGGAATCTCGACATTTGCCCAGTTTCTTGGTCACTTCTAGCGCCCGATGAGCAATGTCTTTTTTCCTTTCCTCCAACTCTTTTTCATCACACCCACCAATCTCCAGAGAAACCATTGTTTCTTCTAACTCAAAAAGGTTTGCTTCTTCAGGAGAAGCTAACCGGAATGTAGTCGGAAGAGGACGGCCCATCCGTCGAAAAGCCTCTTTTCTCATTCCTCCTTCAATATCCTGATCGATGAGATTTTCCTCGAAGTCAAAGACTTTTCCTCGAATCGTCGTGAAGACGATATGGTCCTTCTCGTCCTTAGCGAGAATCTGGCAGAAACGAATAACATGTCCCTTCATATCGTAATATTTGCAGACGTATTCCTGCCAGTTCCCACATCCGCCTCCATTTCCGCGGCCTCTAGCACGGCCTCGACCACCCTGTGGTTGAGTCTGTTGACCTTGATTTTGTTGTCCTTGGTCAACCTGTCGCTCCCCGCTTCCATTTCCTCCGTTCTTGCTGCTTTCTCCTTGTTTACGAGAAGTACTTTGCCCTCCTCGTATCTGGTTCAAGGCTTTCCTCTCAGCCTTGGTCAACTTACGAGGAGGTTCCCTTTCCTCCTCGCTCTCACTCTCACTGCTACTCTCTTCAGTGACAGGCTCCTTCCCTTTTCTCTTCCCAGTTTTTGCCTTAGCCATCATCACTTGAAGTTTTAACCGTTCCTCCTTCATACTGCTCATCATTTCCCTCATGTCAGATAAGGTCGCCACCCGCTCGAATTCAGTAAGGAACTGCTTTGTTGTACCAAAGCTTTTCCGACTAACCTTCCTCAAATCGATCAAGTCCACCAGTTGATCGCTCAGCTGGTACTTTTCTAACAGCTTCCTTTTGAATTCTGCCCAGTCCAGCGAATCTTGTACCAACTCCTCCACCTCTTCCTTATACTGGATCTTGCAGTATCTCTTCACCATTCGCAACATCTTTTCATTCGACCATTCGCAGCAACTTCCCAATTGCTCGAACTTTTCTGCCCATCCCGAGGCGTTGTTACCATCAAACAATGGAACGTCAATCTTCGGGATTTGATCCTTCTGGGACTGCTGAATAATTCTTGCAAGTTCCCGAATGTCATTGCTTCTCCCATCCTGGTTGTCGTTGTTACCAGCCATCTTTAGTGAAGAAAAACAACAACATATTAACAGAAATCAGTCAATTCTTATAAATAATATCTCACAATTTTGGGATCAAATTACTGACTTTTTCTGAGGTCAAACAAGAAAACGAAAATAACTTTTTACTCCATTAATCACCCAAGTGTCGTTCCGCTAGGGACAATGGTAGTTTGTCGTTAACCCCGGCAACGACGCCACCTGTCGAGCGCGTCAGCCTTCGCGTGAAAACGAGGGCCCTCCCGGCCATGTCACGCACGAGTTTACCTAAAACATAACTTTTAGAGACAACTCGGGAACGACGCATACTGTTCCGTGAACCGCCGAGACGGACGAGGTTGTTTCGCTCCTTCGCCGCTCTAGCTGGGTGCGCCAGCTATACATCCCACGGTCCCCTACGATAGGACAGGTTCCCACGGGGCATAAGCTTGCATTCCTAAGGGGCTGTCACTTCCCTTAGGGGTGTATCCCTACCGAGCTACTGATCCACGTGCGAAGGTTTTTATGTGCAATTGCAGAGGTAGATCAGCCGAGGGCGTTAGCTCGTCTCGCTGCAGTATAAAAATTGTTTGACTAAACGCCGAATGAACCCATGTATCGTTCGTTACCTGGGGCACTGATCTCCCAAGTACGAAGTGTACGCCGGTCGACTAGGACATTCTCAACCAAACGTAAAAACGATCCTTAGTCCCTAGCAATCAAACAACAAAAATCCCCATAC